CTGCACTGGCAGGGTGGGGAGCTGCTTGCCTCCTGGTTGTGGAGGGAAAAGGCAGGAAAATGGAGCTAAAAGAAGGAACCTGAAAGGCCCAACATGTTCCATCTTTATGAGTGAAGTCAGGTCTCTGCCTCCAAGGCCCTCTTGTGTACATTGTTTCTTCTGGCCTTGGCTCTCACTAAAATCCTTGTTTTCTGCCCTTAGGTACAAGAAGTATGTGTTCCTGGATCCCCTGGCTGGAGCAGTGACCAAGACCCATGTGGCTCTAGAAACAGAGACAGAAGAGAAGCTCTTTGATGCACCTCTCTCCATCACCAAAAGGGGACAGCTAGACCGACAGGTGAGAGGCAGCTGCTTACATTCCAGAGGGTTGTGCTCAGCTCTCTGAAAAGAAAGGACTTTGATGGGGTGGTGAGCAGGTAGGACAAAAGCCCCTTACAGGGCTGCAGAGTATTCATTTATCAGAAGGACCTTGCCTGGTTTTGTGCTTGAGCTCCTGGTGTGAGCTTGATGAGTGAGACAAAAGCCTCACACTTGGCAGGCATTTCTCTCTGCTCAAGCCTTTGTTGAGTGGTGAAAGGAGAGTAATGGGATGGGATATCAGCTCCCTTGTGCCACCTCCTGAGCCTCAGAGTCTGAGGGTGATGTGCCACTGCTAGAAGGTCCCTGGGGTGAAGTGGGATCCCCATCATTCCTGCTGGGAAGGGGTGCCCACTGGTGCAAACAGAAGGCCAGCCAGACTGAGCAAAGGGCTGTGCTTGGTGTACACAAGGGGCAGGCAGTGCACCAACCCAGTTGCCCCAACATGTGACTGGTACCTGGCACCTTATAAAGGCCATAACTGGGCTGTACCGGCTTTGCTGGGACTGGGAAAAGGAGCCTGGGAATCATTTGCTCATCATGTAGGACTGGAGGATATAATGTATATAATGATATAATGTATATAGTGAACTCTTTATTCACCGTGCACCATCACTACTGTGTTGCCTGTGTGTTAAACACAAAAGCAGACCCCTGTAACTACTGGGTTGTGCATTTTAATCTTTGAAATGGTTCAGACACCACCCTCTTCTGGAGGAGAAGGGACTGGTTATTTAGACTGCAGCAATTAGTGTGTGAACCCTTCAGAGTTCACTTGTTACTGTGAAACTAAGAAGGGTCCTGCACTTCCTCCTCCTGCAGTCTGCCTTCCCCAAGCCTGGTCTGCAGGAGGTAACCTCTAAGCACAGAGCTGTAGGGGTAGCTGATGTACCCAGGTACCCCAGCCCAGCTCTGGCTGCTGCCCGAATTGTTCCCTGCAGTGCCCCTGTTTGCTGCAAGCACATAGTCACTGCCTTACCTTGTTGCTCTGGGTTTCTTTAGGTCGCTGAAAATTACTTCTATGTGCCAGATCTGGGCCAGGTCCCTGAGATTGATGTGCCCTCCTACCTGCCAGACCTGCCTGGCATTGCTGCAGACCTCATGTACAGCGCTGACCTGGGCCCTGGCATTGCACCCTCTGCCCCCAGCAGTGCAATTCCAGAGCTGCCCACTTTCAACACTGAGTCTGTGGAGCCTTTGCAACCAGGTATTTTCAATCTCTGATCTCAGGACCCCATGTAGGAGGAAGGCAGGGATTGCTAGAAAGTAGAAATGAGGCAGAAAGTCCCTTGGTAGAAATTTTAAGATGGATGATGGACGTTGCACTTCTGGTTTAGGCCTGAGGGAAAGCTGCAACCTGCTCAAGTTCTGGCCTGACTGTAGCCCCTTTACCTCCCTCCCCCTCTCTCTGCATAGCTAGGGAGGAGAGAGCACAGTGTGTGTGAGCCTGGTGGGATGCCCTTGTGCAAGTGGGATGCAGCTGGGGAGGGAGAGTAGGGGAATCTCAGACTCTTGCCTTGGCCCTGCCTGCTGTTAAAAGATGGAGCACAGGGCAGGAGCGCTCTGCTGCAGGTGCTGAGGACTCTGATCTGTTGCTGCTGAGGTGTGTGAAGCTCTGAGCTGAAACTGGGACTCTTCAGATACAATTTCTTTAATATTTCAGATCTCCAAGACGCTAAGCTCTTGCCACCTCCTCCCCCTCCACCTCCCCCTCCGCCTCCTGTTGTGCCAACTCCGGTGCCTCCTCCACCGCCCCTGCCCCAGCCCATGGCACCCTTGGAAGCAGCTCAGGCAGGGAGTGAGGAGAGCAGCAGCACAGTGCCTGCAGGTAAGGCTGGGCTCCTCCACAGCTGCACAGCCTCCTTCCCTTCACCTGTGTCCTTGGGGGCCTTCCCAGCATTCCAGCAGGGGAGGATGTGCAGTGGGATGAGATGCTGTCAAGGTACTGGAGTAGCCCTTGCCATGGGAATTTGGCTGGGCCTGTAGCTGATGCACTGACCCTGATGCTGTCTGTCCTTCCTGTCCCTGCAGCTTCAGTCCAAGGAGCCCCAAAGGAGGTGGTGAACCCCTCCACTGGCCGTGCCAGTCTCTTGGAGTCCATCCGCCAGGCCGGGGGCATTGGGAAGGCCAACCTTCGCAGCGTCAAGGAGAGGAAGCTGGAGAAAAAGAAGCAGAAGGAACAAGAACAAGGTGCTGAGACTCTTTGGCAGAACTTCTTTTCATTCTCCAGGTGGGGAGGTGTTGGGTCTGGGGGCAAGCAGGCAAGGCAGGAGCACAGTGAACTCACAGAGCAGAAAGGAGTTGTCTCCTCACAGGCTGATGGAGGTCTCAGGTGTTCACCACTCAGCCAGAGCTCTGTGCACTTGCTAAACCCCACTGGTCCAAAGGGCATCTGTCCCAGGGCTTGTGGGGAAGTTTCACATGTGATGCACAGGAGCAGGCACACAAATGAAACCCTGGGGGACAGGGCTGAACCAGTTAAGGAACCTTGGCCGAGGTGAATGCCACTCAATGGAATTAATTCAATTCATTCCTCAATGAATTCCACTCTTGGTTTTCCCCAGGAGATGCCATTAACCCTGCTAGCAGTGCCTAGTGTTTTCCTGACCTGAAAATGGACTGTAGTTTTGGGGTGTCATACAAAATTAGAGGTTTGGAGTTTTCTCTTTGATCTGAAGGCAGTGTTGCAGGGAAATGCTTTTGCCATAGTGCTTAGCTCAGACTAATCTTTCTTCACTGACTTGTTCTGCTCTGTTTCAGTGAGAGCTACGGGACAAGGTGGAGATTTGATGTCAGACCTGTTCAACAAGCTGGTGCTGAGGCGCAAAGGTACTGTCCTGCAGTGTGGGCTCCTTCCCCCAGGAAACAGGGAGAGCACTCCCTGGTACCCAGGCTGTGTCAGCCACAGCCTTGGACACAGGAACAGAGATTTTCCTGGGCAGGGTACCACAATACAGCTGGGAGTGTCTTTACAGAGAATGAGCAGAGGAATTTCCACCTCAAGTCCAGCTGGAGGCACTGGAGGGGTTTATATGTTTCAGAGGATGGACCCAGAAAGCCTGTGCAGAAGGGACAGCAGTGTCTTTTCTAATCCAGTGCTTGGGCAGCTGAGCCCACTGCCCATACGGGCACTTGAGGTGCCATGGGAGGTTTCTGGGGCATTTAGATCAAAGGTCATACCTCAGTGCTGGGCAGTCAACAGCAGGGACTTGCTCAGGGGAGCTGTAGTTAAACCTTGGCATTAAACATCTTGGCTCTTCTGGTTACCTGGGTGGTGAGAGCATGGCTTTCCCCCCACTTTGCTGAATCTCTTTGGTCTCTAGTCCCCAGGTGTGACTCACTGTGGTTTCCTTCCCTCCCAGGTATTTCAGGGAAAGGCCCAGGAGCCTCTGGGAACACGGATGCTCCTGGCAGTCCTGCCGGCGCCTTTGCTCGCATGTCGGACTCAATACCACCCCTGCCACCCCCACAGCAGCCCGTGGGTGAGGAGGATGAGGATGACTGGGAGTCATAGATGGGCTCCATTGAGTATTAGTGTGGAACTATTGCTGCCTGAAAAATTTCCATGAAGTTGAAGGAAGGAGGTCCTTACTGCCTTCACTTTGGTAAAAGTGGGAAGTGTCATTAATTAAGAGTGTGTAAAAGGAAAGCCCAGCTGTCCAGCCTCACAGCCCAGCACCACAGGCTGGAGGGCACCAGCTGCTAGAAGCAGGTGCTCCCCTCCCTGAAGGCAGAGCTTGTGCAGACCACAGGGTTTGGACCTGCTCAAGGGGCAGGTGACTCACAATGGAAGTTTCTCAGAGGCAGCTGTTTCCTTCCCTGTGGGGCTAATTAACATACAGGGAGTGGGTAACAGCTCTGTGCCATGAGTATTTTCTTCCTTGTGAAGAGCCTGGAGAGGTGGCATCCAGCTGCTGAAACTGGAAAAGAAGCAAACAGGGCTCTTGGGATGAGACTTGCTCAGGATGACAGAGGTAGCTGGGAACAGCTGAGGGATTATGTGGCTGTCCCTGGTGTTATTGCTGCCCTCCAGCACTGATCCATAACCCTGAAAAGACCCCCAGGAAAGTTAAATTCAAGAAGTTACTTTGAATTTAGAAGCTTAGGGGTTAAAAAGAGCAAAGCAATCCTGTGCTTAAACATGATCAGAGGAGAAGTGCTGTATTGTGGCCATATCTTTATTCCCCTTGTAAGAATGAACTGCTTCAATCTATTGGCTGCTTGAAGCAAGGCAGAAAGAGGGTGAGAAAAAATCTTACCCACAGCTGCTCCATTACCACTCTGCGTTATTCCAATATGACATAAATTAGTGGCCTGCTAGTTCACAATTCCTGTGAAAAGCTCAATGATGGCATTGGTCAGTCAGGCCTCCTACACTTGGTGGTTGATGGGATAAAACCATGTGTTCAGTCAAAATAATTACTCCCCATACTTAAGTGTACTTAAATAATACTCGCCATACTTGAGTGTTTTTACTGAAAGTATTTAATCAATTTAAATAAAACCTTAACAGCTGTAAACAAGTAGGTGCCTGCTGCTACTCTCTTCACCTGCCTCAGACTTACAAGCAGTTTCCCTCCTGACTGTGGTGCTGAAGGCTCTCTCACCATCATAGCATTCAGATACTGAACAGCAAATATCCACAAAGGAGGCAGAAGGCAGAGATTTTACGAAGTCCATGGTACAGAAAAGCAGCAACTTGTGTTACTTTACCTAGTCTTCAGAGGTTTAAGTCATAATGATGAATACCATCTGTTCTCTGCTCCACATCACAAAGCATCCAGCTTGCTTCGATGGAACTGGGAACACACAGAACCAGGCAGTTTGTCCTCAGCCTTACTCTAAAGGGAAAGCTCTAAAAAGGTCCAGATGAGGACAATGGGGAACAGTACACAAAATACAAGGAGTTCTGACCTTTCTTAGCTCAGCAAACGCTGATCCAAAGGCAGGTTTCACCTGGGTCCTCTCCCTGATCCACTGGGGCAGTTTGTTGAAGATGGCAGGGCGTGCGTACCTGTGGTCCAGGAGCACGATGCTTGCAAAGTCCTTCTGGTGGCGAATGGCTCTGCCTGTCCACAGGATAAAAATAAACAATGAATGGCCCACTCAATTGTTTGTTCCCATCATCTGTAATGCATCCTTTTTCCTACCCTCCTCCTCCAGTGTGTTTGGTATCCCCCAGCCTGTCCAAGGAAGGATGAATTACCTATTGACTGGTTTACTGCCTTCATGCACAGGTTTTCAATCAGCACTCTGCTCGGTGCCTGGCCACCAGCTCTGGGCTGGAAAGAAGAAATAGGCGAGTCTGAACACAAGGCAGATGTAAATCAAATTGAGGAATTTTGCTGAGAAAGTGAGGTAAATACTTTCACCCCTGCAGGGTGAGCAGGTAGCCAGGCAGACCCCAAGTGGAGAGTAAGGAGGAAGAGAAGAAAGGCTGCAGTCAGAAAACTGTGCTGAGCGTTCACAAATAGCCAAACCAAGGTGCCCTTGAAGGCAGAGATCTTGTCCCGAGGAACAGCACCTCCAGTGAGCAATGAGAAAGGACAAATGATCCTGCAAGCAGCTTCTAGCACCCTGCCACCCCCTGTGGGTTGAAGGGCCTTTGCTCCCCTTGGAGCTCAGAGCTGCCAGCAAGTCCTGGTGGCATTTCCCTCCACCAAACTTCCTCTGTGTTTAGGGCCACCTGTCCAGGAGCAGCCTGGAGAAGGCTGTGCTCTCAGTACCACACTGTCTGGGAAATGAGGGCAAGCTCAAGGAAAATAAAACCTCTGAAGGCAGCTCTGGGGCTCATGTGCTGGGACATTAGTACTATAAAGCAGAATTGAAAGAGACAGAGGTGTAAGTGGCTCTTACCATTGTTTTATCAAGCCAGGTCATTTTTTCCTGGAGTTCTGGAGATTTAATGTTGGGGTAAGGCATTCCCACCATAATCACACACCTGCAGGGGAGGACTGCATTATTCTTAATGTTTCATCCTAGGGCACTCTGCCAATAGACTGATAAATTAGAGGTCACTGCACCCCTGAAAGACAGCCAGCCCTGCAAACCAAAGGCAACAATAAAGCACAGCAGTCCGACAAGCACGTGCTGAACAGAGTTGCAGAGCGATTCAGGGTGCCAGAACAAGGATTATCCAGCACAGCAAGCCTAACTGCATTACTCACAGAAGAGTGGCCTGGACAGGAGGGTTTTACACCACCCAGCAGCCCCTCCTGTTCCTTTAAGCATCAGTTAAATCACACATTCCCCAGGATTTTCTATCCATGCAGGTACTGATGTGCCCATCATGCCTGGAGTCACTCCAGCACAAGCCAGAGGTGGCTTTCCAAGGAGCAGTCACCTTACCTTCCCAAGTCATCAGAGAAATTGATCCCTTCACTCATTTTGCCTCCAACTACAGAAAGCAGCAGGGCCCCTGTCATCTGTCCTCCTGCCTGGCTGCAGCGCTGCAGGAGAGGGACAGCAACTTAAACCAGAGCAGGGAACATTTCTGTGCTTCAGAAACACTCCCACACCTAGGCTGGAGCCTTCTTTCCCTGTTAAAAGTGCCCTCCTTTGCAGCATTCCCACACCTGCTGGGCTGCCACACTCCCACCAGCCTGCCTGCTCAGCTTACCTTTATGCATTTGGCATATTCCACCAGCACCTGCTCCACCTGGTTGGCTTTCTTAGGCTCCTGAAAGATCTGTCAGGCACAGTTCATCAGTTCAGCAACAGGAAGCAAACAGTTTAAAGAAAGCAAATAATTTTACCCCCATGCCATTAAATAACATATGGAACTGAGGTCATGCAAGGGGAAATTGCCTGAAAAACTAACTTAACTAACTTTCCTTCACCCTGGAAATGCAGTACAGCTCTTTTCAGCTGGGCTCTGAAGGGAGCAGCAGCTGCTTCTGGCCCTCCAACATTCCCTTTCAGCTTTGGGAGATTTGTTCAATACTGAAAGAAGTTACAAGTCATCCTAGAGCTGAGAGGCAAAAAAGCAATGAGCACCTCTTGCACCTTTGAATCAAGACCCTCTGGGGTCAAGCTGTAAGACCTTGGAGGACAGGGACAGGACCAATCAATTTGAATCATCAATTAATTCCAAGCAGGGACTCCCCTTGCCCAGAGTGAATAAATTAGCTTTTCATGCAAAGCATAAATAAAGTAGTATATCTTTATGTTATTCTAGCACACCTAATTAGTTACTGAAAACCTCTGCAGTTAATTAAGCTGTATTTTATAGGTGCTTGGCCTAAAACAAGTAGTTTTCCTAGTAAACAAGAGGTCCAACATCTGTCTTCTCTGTAACAGTAAAGAATCTACAGAATGTGTTTTCCTTTGGTTAGCAAGAAGTAATATAAAATGTTACCAGTCAAAATCAGTCTTTCAGTAGAAAAATAACTGTCAATTACAAATATAAGTCAAAACTAACTTATTGAAAGGTAGCTGTGTAAGCTTTTGATTTAAATTAACTTTCCCTGTGTGATTTGTATATAATCTCAGTGTGATCTCACCACAGCAACCTCAGGAAAGCCTTGAACCTTCCCCTGCTAAGATTTGATCTTGTGTGTGGGCAGTTGAAAGTCTCACTTGCTGCACTTAGACCCAATGGCCTTGCTAATGCATATCCAATTTTCTGGAGACTGCAAAGGCAAAATAAGAACAATTTGGAGTTGAAATTTGGAACAAACTGCGAGTGGCCCAAAGTCTTGGAGGAACCAGGCAGAGCATTGGGACCCTGACAGGACACAGCTGAAAGGCACACAGAGTTTGTAACTCTACAAACAGAGAAAATGAAGCACAGTGATTCCAACCAAAAAGCTACAAGCTGCCCCATGTGCCAGAATGCCAAGAATCACCAAGGCTGTGAAATTTGTGAGACTGTGGTAAGTTGTTTAGCTTTTGGTACACACAAGTCACAGCCAGGGTATATGTAATTTTTCCTTCCCCTGGCACATGATCCAAGATCCCTGCACCACAACCTGAACTGCCTGACTTTCAGTATTCAACTGTCAAATACCTGTGAGAGTCATTGGAAAGACTTTATATTTGCAGTGATCTCCCTATTTAATGTTTCTCATTGCTCCTTCAACAGGAGTCACCACTGCTTGTCTTCCAGTTCTCATCTCTACTTCTGGCAGACAGCAAAATGCCATTTGTCTTATGAATTGCACTGTTATCTCACTCTGCCTAGCCCTTGGCTGTGTTGGTCTGTGCTCAAGGGACACACAGATGAGCCTGGGGAAAACAAATTCCCTGTAGGAGCTCAACCTGAACAGCCCCTCCCAGCCACAAGAGAACAAGTCTGCTGGCTATGGATAGCAAAGACTGTCTGCCCCCATGGCCACTGCACAGAGTGTGCACTTCAAGGATGTATAGCTGCAATCAATCTCATTTAGACTGCAGCTCAGTGCTCAGCCACCCAGGAAGTGTAATTTATTCATTCCTGGAGGGATTAGCTGGATAAACATCCATTCTGCTCTGTGCACACACCATGGGAACAACTCAGAGAGAGGTCCATAATGCATTTGGAATTATTTGGGTTTTGACACCTCCATGGAAAGTCCCAACTGCCCTGGCTGCACATCACCTTTTTCCTGGCTGCCAGGCGGGAGAGCAGCCCTGTCTTCTCCCAGTGTCCATACACCTGCTTCTCATACTCATAGGAGGGGAAGAAGCACACCACACCTCCAGGGATCACATTGCACAGGTTGCAAAGGATTCGACCTGTCTCATCCATCTGCAAGAGAGACCAGAGCATATTGCAGCTGGCAGGAGTCCAGCTAATGCTGCTCCAGTTCTCTGCTCAGGGATCACACCTTCCTTATGACATGCCTTAGGGGAGGAAAAAATGTGGGAAATATGCCAGGTCTGTGAGAACTCCCATGGGGAGCTGGGCATCACTAAAAAGCTCTTCACTGCTTGGCCTTCTTCCCTAGCCCAGGGTTTCTGTTCTGGCTGTGGAGCCGTGGTCATTCAGGAAAGGAAGGTTTGCCTCAGTGCATGGAAGCTGTCCCATTAGAACAGACACTGAGAGCTGGTTAGCACATCTGCCTGAGATTGAGCAGGGGCAGAGCAGACCTAGTGTCCAGCCTTGGGTGCCCACTGGCCTGCCACAGGAAGAAGGCAGATGTGCCAAAACACCTGCAGCTGCTTCTGTGGTTTGGGATTTCCTTTGCCACGGCTTTGGCTCAGCCCCCCTCTTAAACACAGAGTGTACCCTGCTCTGAAATACAAGCATGTGAAGCAAAACAGAGATCCCAAGGAAGGGAACAAAGGACAAACTGACCATCTGAGGCAGGTCTCTGGTCTGGTAAGTGAACTCCAGCTGCTGGTTGGAAGGACCACTGCAGAGAATGATGGGTAAAATATTTTCTGGAGGAATCACATGTCCTGGGGACAAAAACAAATAGGGAGAGTCAACATCACTGCTGCTGGCACAAACCCCACGAGCTGAAGAGCTTGAATTGCATTCTAGTGACAGAGGCAAACATTTGCCTGGCTCAGCCAAAGTGCCTAAGTCACTCAGCTGCTCCAACTTCCATCCCCTCAGCCCCTGGGAGGAAAGCATGGCACACTGCCTCCTAATACCAGTCAAGACCACAGGGGAAGCTCAGAGTGAAAGGGAACTCACACCCCTTTGCTGCCCTGGTTTTTAGGAAAGATGCCACATTGCTCTGAGTGCTGACAGAATAGTGTTAAAAGCAAACTGCAGCCCTGGCACTGCTGAGCCCTCCCTGCCAGCCCGGCACACTCACCACAGGAGAACTCCACGATCCGGGCAGGGTCCACGCCAGCACAGCACAGCAGCTGCTCTCGGAAATCAGCCACCTAAGAGCCACAGAACAAAGGCAAGTGAAGTACCAGCGTCCCAAAACCTCTACACCAGCAGCAGCAGCACCGCAGGTCAAGCCGAGGAGCGGCAGCGCCCTCTGCCCGCACACAGCGGCGCCGACTCTGCAAAGCTCCCGTGGCACCATCCCTGTGGGATCCCTGGCCCTGCAGAGCCAGGATGGATCACGAGCTCCTCCCACTGCTCCCCGTGCTAGCTCCAACCTAACACCAGCTCAGCCGGGCTGCTCTTTCCACCCCGGCTCGCAGACAGCACCCCCGACCTGCCGAGAGCCCAGCACAGCATCCCCATTCCCTCACCGGCTGCATGGTGCCCCCAGCAATGATGACAGCACGGCATTCTTCCACAACCCTGGCAAAGTGGACAGCTGGATTCAGCAAGAGGAATTTGAGGCTGCTCTGAGCAACTGTGCCTGGGAAAAGGAGAGGGGAGCATTCAGGAGCGAGCTGTGACACATACTCAGAGATATAAGAGATTCTCCCTCCTGACCTGGGCACTCTGGCAGGTACCCACCTCTCAAAGTAAAGACTAGCTGTTCAACACAGACAGAGGCAGCAGCAGGTAATGCCAGCCTGGAGGTGACCTTCTGCTTCCTAATCTCCCTGGAGTTGTACAACAGATGCAGTAAACTGCAGGACAAAACTTGACATCCAAAGTGGGAGCAGACCTCTGCAAACCCTGGCCCCAATGCCCTTGGCTAAAAATTCCCTTGGGATCATAAGCATCCTCAGACAGACCAAGCCTGCCAGTCTGCATCACAGATGGCACAAATGCAGGTTCCAGGTTCCCCAGAGACTCGTATCTCCTCCCTCAGTGCCAGTGAAGCACCCTGCTTGTGACTGACTCATGCCACCCCTCCCCAGCTCTCCCTTTCCAGTACCTTGCTTGTTGAGAATGACTCTGCCATCTTGGTTTGCATTTGTGAGGGCTGAGAGGAATCCTTCAATCTGCATCAGTGGAGAGGCAGCTCTGAGCTGGTCGTGCTCAGCCTCCACAGGAGGGCTCTGGGTACCTGCTGGCCCAAAAAAGAAAGGAGAGGCAGGCAAGGCAACTTAGGCCACACTTGTAAAGACAAGGGTTAAGCACAAAATATGCTCTACAGGAACACAATACCTGGCCTATATATGCAGGCAGAGAATAAATACCCATTCAAGGGGAAAATCCAAATTCCATCTCATTGCTAAATTAAAAAAAAAAAAAGAAAAATCTGACTATTGTGGATGGCACCACTAAGCAAAGCTACTATACACAGTAGCTCAGGTCCCAGAGCCAGGTCACAGAAGTGCAAAGCTTGAGTGCATGTGGTGTGAACATGGAATTACATCATGCAGCTTGAAAGGGACCTCACTAATCCAATGTACAGTTGCCTAGGTCAGCTAGTGAGACCTGTTAAAAAACACCCATGCAGGACACCTTCTTCAGGCCCTCATTCTGCACATCTGCCTCCTCCCTTTCCTCATGCAGAGATGCAGGTTCCACATCCTCACTCTGCCCACAGATGCACAAGGAGAGGATGCCTGAACTCACCCTCCTTAATAGATCCCTGCTGAAGGGTCAGAAGAAAGTCCTGCAAACCAGCCACCTTCTGGTTCTCCTTGTTGGTCTTCACAGCTGAGGCAGGGCCCCCATATCGCTCCACAAACCCAAAAAGCTGCCAAACAAAAGCCAGAAATACTTAAGACTACCAACAGCAGGAATCAGAGAAGATAAAGGCAGGTTTGCTGGTCTGCCACAAATGAAATTCCTCAGTAGGTGTTCACAAACCAGCCTAATCAGAATGTATCAGCTCCCATTACCTTCCTACACCCACTGAAAAGCAAAACAAGTTTCTGATGTCTGTTCTTCCAGTGCAATGCAGCCTGCCTGCCTGGCAAATTTGAGGCCAAGCAGCACAGAATTGGCACCCACTGGAAGACTGCGGTAAACCACACTGTATTTTTCTTTTCTGGATAAGCAAGAGTTAACCTGCCCATACAGTATTTTTTAAAGGAACCAGTTTGTTTGCAGAACAGGATGGAGAAGACAAGCTCCCACCCAGCTGCTGCATCCTCCATCTCAAAGTGCAGGTGTGAAGCAGCATTGGAGCACTGCTGACCATGAAACCCCAGGGCAAGTACCTTCCTGCTGATGAGGCTCTTCTCACAGTAGCGCTGAACCTGTTGGAGGAGGACAGGAAAATGAGCTGGCATTCAGCACCCCTTCTCCACCCTGCTGTCCTTGACCCCTGCCCAGCAAGGCTGTCACTTGCTGTGCTTCTGGGGAGAGCTGCACAGATCTTTGTGGGCACCACCAGCCAGACCAGAGTTTATTACAATGTGAGAAATTATTATTACAATGGCATTCCAGAGCGAAAACACACACTGTTAAAAGTGCTGTGTTTGGAGGTTCAAGAGGGAAGGTTAGGTTACTGGAGTAGCAAATTTTCTGCATGACACCCCTTATAGTGTAGCTTTGCCTTACAGACAGTTAGAAAGCACGGGCTTTGCCTCTGCTTCCAGCTCTCACACAATAATCTCAAACAAGTCACCACCACCTGTGCCTCAATGTTTGCATTACCTTAAAGAGGTTGATATTGTCAATCTGGCTTTGAAACAGAAAGTCATTGATGGATTTTAGTACTGTCCCTGAAAGAAAAGAGAGAGAAGGGGAAAAGAAATTATTGGCTGCTGCTGGGCCTGCACCCCTTACTGCCCACACCCATGTCCCTGACTGATAGCTGCAAACCCCAGGAGTTCACTCCAGTCTTACCTGTTTGGGGAACTGCCTGACTTCCAGGATTCTGGTTCACATTACCTGTAAAGCATGAAACCAGTTCAGGAAGGCTTGAATCTATCTCAAAATTAAGCAGGAAACTAAAGACTGAGCTTGATGGGTACAGTGCACAAAAAACCCAAGAAGTAACTACACATCTGCAAAATGTATCTTTGCAGACAAAACAGCAGCTCTCGCTCAGTTTTAATTTGCCCTAGAGTCACCCTACACTGCAGAACAAGTGTGCTGCTGCATCCTAAGGAACACCACCCACATTCCTAAGATCTAGGAAACAGATCATTGGAGAAAAGGAGCAAGCCCTGCAAATTCCTGTGGACCTAAAATCAAAGCAAAATATTTTCTCACAAAGGAAAGGCATCACTCAGGAAAGATTCATTCTGCAGATGCATGCCGACACACAGAGGCCTTGCTACCAGATGACCTGGAGATTTATTTCATGCAGTTCTTGTGTTACACTGTGATAAATCTGTTATATATAAATCTGCTGTATTCCTCACTTGGCATTTTACATCATCCTCACTTCAACTGGATCTCAAAACCACACAAAGGAAACTGCCTCTACCAACTCACAATGTTATCTGCTGCTCCTAAGCTAGTGAAACAAAGAGTTCCAGCAGACATCAGTCAACTTGCCCATGTACAAAACAGCCTGCAAAATAAAACTACTGGCATCTGAACCTATACATAAGCAACACTTCCCTGCAGTCTCTGCAGAGGAGGAAGGGGGACAGTGTCCTGAGGAAGTACTAACTAGCTCAGACTTTATCAGTATCCCTGGAGACACAAAAGGTTTGCTTACCTCCCAGCATAGCCACAAACTGCTCCAGTAAATACAGGATCTGCTTAATGTACATCAAGTTCTTTGCCTTCAAACGTTTCCTATGAAACATGAGACACATTTAAGCCCCAAAACCTCTTCAGGGACTAACCAAAGCAGATGAGCTGCAGGAACAACTCTTCTTCATTTTGGAGAGTCAGGAACTAAGATTTCTTCCAAGTTCACTCTCCCTGTTTGTGACAGGGCACAGTCATCTGGATATCCTGCCATGGTCATCCCAAAGCATTTATCCATGCTCCCCCCACTGTTCCTACCATTGCACTTCTCCTTGCATATTAATTATAGCTGGTTTATTAAATGGCAGTGATGCCTTAAGACCCTGTTGCAATAATGCTCCAAACATTCAGAGTTATTATCACTGAACACAACAATCAGCCACTGCAGGGATGGCGAGGTGCAGAGCCAAAACCCACACACAGCTTCCTCCTCCTCAGAGCTTCCTGCTCCTACCATAATTCACAATGGAAGACTAAGGGAGAGGCATGAAAGACTGAATCTTTTGAAACTCTGCATCACAAAGTAGAAGTGATTGGAGGGAGTTATTGGGAAAGGAACTGAGTGTATAAGGGGAAAACAGAATCCTCGGGATATCCCCTTCTCACTGCTTTATCCCAGCCCTGGGAGTCTGACTTAGATGGATTCTAGACAGAGATAATGAATCAAGTGTCTTTTCACCTGCAGAACTCTTAATGCAGTAACTTTCCACTTGGGAAAAGCAAGCAAGGCCCTGCAGCCATGGGGCAAGCCAAGGCATCCCCAGCCCTTCCCTGTGCTGTTTTCCCCCAAAATCCTCACCTGTACCGCTCCATGTACTGCGACAGCTGGGAGTGGGCACAGCACAGCTGCACAAACAGAAAGCAGAGGCTGCTGTCATAAAGGAGAGAAGAAAGAGCACTCTGGAATTGTGCTCTTTAGCACAATTAGCATGAGCAGGCCAGGCTGTGACTCACCTGAGAGCCGCTGACCTCGGCACTGTGGATGCAGGTGATGGTGTCTATGAGGTTGTGAGCCTCGTCAATGATCACAACCTGGTCCTTCAGCTTGATGCCAGCAGCGTTCCTGGTAGGCTCATGCAGAAGCATCTGATAGGGCAGCACCACCAGCTACAGGAGAGGCACACACTGCCCTGATTCCAGCTCTCATCCTTACAAAATTGAGGCATTCTACAACCACTCATTAACAGCCTGTATTAGAGGGCCATGCAGCATTTAGCCAAGTGACTTACTCTTCTTATGGGAAAAGTAAGAACAAAACCAGGAGCACATGCTTGAGAGGGGCACTGGGATGTGAGCTGAAGAGAAATGATTATGCTACAATTGCATACGGGCTCAGGTTACCTTCTAAATCTCCTTTGGAGCACTGGAACTCTTCAGAGAGAACCCAGCAAGGAAGAAGAGTGGTGTAAGAGCTAAGAGTACACCTGTATGTCAGTATTGCCTCACACTTGCTGAACTGCTCAAGTATTTCAAAGTACTGAGACATACAGCATCCTTATGAACTTCTGATGGGAATTCTTATTTTCCTTTGCTTTCTGGGCAAAACTAGAGCTGACAGAAACACAGCCTGTTTACAGACTCCCCCAATCTAAGTAACAGTGCTAGAGGGAGCAGCCCACCAGTTCATTCATAGAGTGCCTGGCATTAATGCCACTAAGCCTGTTATGTCTTACCTGAGCAGCAGGGATAGCAAATCGACTCCCATAATATGGGCAGGCTTTGGCCTCCCTTCCCAAGGACACGAGCTGCTCAATATCCTTCACTTCCACCAGAACTTCATCACGGAGGAACTGCATTTGCTCAAAGGAATAAAACGGGCACACGGTGCGACTCACACGTCTCTTCTTCCCCTCATTCTCCTCATTGCTCTTCTTTTCTAACAGCAGAAATCAAAAGAAAGCTATGAGCAACACACACAACAGCCTAAAATAACCATTTTGCAGAACCTCATGGATTTCAAAGCAAGCTCTATCCTGTGTATTCCTGACCTATCACCTATTTTAAAATTATTCAGCAGTAACTTTTCCATCTCCATAGTGGACACTACTCTTGCCAGTTACATTTAGCATGTGACATCTTCCAACATTTCTAGCATTGAGTTAACAAACACAAGTATCTTTCTGTGCAGAAGTCCTGACCAGCTTAAGACATTCAGAAAATTTATCCTGATCTCAGCATAGCCTGGAAGTCAAGAAAAGCACCAAGGATTCCTGTTCCTCCAACCTGTCACTTTCAAGCTTCTAGCACTCTTGCTAGAACTGACTGGCAGTGCCCACTGTCTCCACACTCTCACAACACCTTTATAAGGAATTGCTTCCCCAGGCTGGGAGCATGTGGTATTTTCAGAGTCCCCTATCATGCAGAGGAAAGATGAATCTGACTCCATGTTCTTAGAAGATTAATTTATTATTTTATGTTACTATGTTATATTAAAGAATGCTATACTAAACTATCCTAAAGAATAGAGAAAGGATACTTACAAAAGGCTTAACAAGATACTACTGAAGAACTTGTGACTCTCTCCAGAGCCTCGACACAGCTGGCTGTGTCCTTAAGTTAAAACAATTCACATGAAACCAATCACACAATGACCAGGTGGTAAACAATCTCCAAACACATTCCAAAGCAGCAAAAAACAGGAGAAGCGAATCAGATAATTATTATTTTCCTTTTTCTCTGAGGCTTCTCAGCTTCCCAGGAGAAGAAATCCTGGCGAAGGGATTTTTCAGAAAATATGACAGTGACAGGAGCATCCTCACCATGTTTGTTCTTCTGCATCTCCATGCAGCGGTCATTGATGAGCTGGAGCGCGCCCAGGCGCCGCACCTCCTCATTCACACACAGATTCTGGCACGTGCAAACAGAGGAAGAGGAAGGGAGTAAATTCACAGCTGAGTGCCCCCTGTATTACCCCTGCTGTAAAATGAAAGCTTTTCATTAAAGCAATCCCAGGCCAGATTCCAAAAATGAAGTCTAACAGTTAGATATTGTACATACTAACTGTACAAATATGTTCAAAACTCACAGAAACTTAGGAGGAAAAAACGAGACAAAGAGGGCTCACTGCTACACAACAGCTTCTGAAAAATGCTGTCAGAAGTACTAGTTTACTAAGAGGAGCACCTTCTCAGAGACTCAGACATCTGTAACATTCCATATTGGAAAAGTTAAAACATTCTTGTATTTACATCAAAGGGTAAATGACCAAAACAGAGTTCACAGAAAAATGCACATCACACAGATCTGTGTTGCGACCCATGACTGCCTTAGTTTTTCAACAAGAAACTCAGCCTGACCCCAAGGTGACTTCTGTGGCAGCAGATCCCCACAGCTCCTGGCAGTGTGCTCTGGGTCCCTGGGAACAGCAGCAGCACGTACCTGCCTGGATCCCAAGGAGACCAGACGTGTGTCTTTGCCAAAAGGACTTTTCTGCACCTCCCGCACAAACTGGGACAGCTGGGAGTGGGTGCGGCTGCAGTAGTAGATCTGCAGTGAGCAACAACAAAGGGAAGACAAGAACAATGTGAAAGCCAATCCCTACCTATGACCAATCCTATGAGGAAGCAGCCAAGCACTTCAGCAGGGTTCACCTTGCTCAAGCCTTCAAAAGCACAAGGCACGTGCTTAAAACTGCTGAGGCCAAAAGCCCCATCTTTTTTTTCTCCTCTGCATTTGCTTTTGTTGCCATTTAATTTTCCAAGATCTCTATAAAACAAGGACTCGCCATGGGAGAGTAATAAAAAACTATTTATTGCAGCAAAAAATGAAGCAGTGTTAGCACAGCAAGTTGCTTAGGCAGGCAGTGTAGTCCAGAAGGAGATGAGCACAGCAGAACTAGCTGTCTTTATCAACAGACCTGGCAGGTTTTGGAAGCTAGCTCCTAAATCCTTCTGTACTGCCTGACTGTTGGAAAGGTGCAAGGAAGCCATCATTCTGCTCACTCCTACACTATCCTATGAAGTGGCACTATTTAATTTCCTCCTCTCACCTTAGTCACATGCTCCTCTTCCAAATCATCATCATCATCTTCTTCCAGCCTAAGAAAAGAGAAAGTTCAGTTTCCTTTCAGCAGACCTCTGACAGTAAGAAACAAATTATGCTCCACCAGAGGAGTGAGGTCTCAAGAGAGATGATTAAGTCATCTCAAAAAGAGCCTCAGAACTCATCTCATCTGGTAAAAATTTAAACTTTTTAAGAACAGTGTAAGTATGCATAGTCAAGTCAAGCCTTTCTCTTTAAAGGAAAAATCTCTCCTGGGTTGTGCCTTTTTTCCAAGTCCAAGAATTTCTTTTTCTTTTGATTGAGGGGCTCTAAGCCTCAGGCATAAGCTAATCAGTGCTATACTATTCTTTGGTGACATTATTTATTTATTTTTGTAAAGCTTTCCCATTAGAAGCAATTTACCACCCTCCAGATATTGCATAAAGAAGGGCTTCAGGAAAGCATTCAGCTACCATTGAGCTCCTCAAAGATAACAGCAGTTCAATGTTTGATAAACTACTTACATATAAAAAAAGTAGTTAAGTGTTCTTCAATTTTTAAGGCAGAAGAATATGTCTAGACATGAATTAGTAAATTTGTAATTTAAATGTGTTTGATTTTTTGTGCTGAAGTATGGCTTCTGGCTTTCTGCATAAAGCAAATGCATGAGAGAGAAAAGTGTGCAGGGGATTTTCATGCCAAAGCTCCATCTTCAGAAATGTGAACATCTCTGCCTTTAGAGTATCAAAAAAATGCCAGTGCTAATCTGCAGAACTGACAGCTTCCTCTGGTGTCCTGAGTTCTATTCTGCTTTTCTCATGCAAGGAACTTGATCTCCAGTCATTCACTCAGCATCCAGAGGCACTCTTTGGGAAGCTGGGCATGGATAAAGGCAGGGCACTGCTACACATTTTAAGATGCACTTTCTCAGAAAGCATTTCAAGTCACTCATCGGTCTAACAAGTTTATAAAAACCAAAACAAACCAAACTAAAATCCCCCCCAAACCACCAATTAAATAAAACCCCAGAACAACCACCATCTTACACTGTTTGAAAAGGTGAGAAACACTTTTTAATAAAATCTGCCCAACTTCTTTAATCAGGGCAAGACAAAAATTAGATAGAAAATGTGTCCTTAGCATGGAATCCCCTCATTCCCTGTCCTTACCCAGATACCACTTTCTTTTCATCATCACTCTCATATTCAGCAAGAATCAGCTCCTCTTCATTGTGATCCAGCTGGTCTAGAGCATCCTCTCCAGCTCCCTGAGAAAGAGCCTCCTTGCTGAGCTGAAGAAGGCGCTTTGCCTCATCCTCCTCACATCTCTGGAAGAACACAAAGACACAGCATTTCCCATATAAAAAGAGTGGCACAGGGGCTGCTTTATGGCATGAACAGGGCAGAAGACAGCACAGTCCCTCACAGAAGGCTGAAGCTGTTCAGCCCTACAGAAATCAGCTGTTACCAAAACCAAAGACCTGCCCACACAGATGGTTATGAAGGGGAAACATGAAGGACCTTCTCTGCAAAAGGCCTGCTGAACTAACAGATCCTCAATGAAATGGGGATGTAATGTTCATGTAATCCAGTGTTAGTTGCTTAAAGTGGTCCATAAAAGATGCCTGCCTGAGAGAAAATAGTGTGTAAATAAACCTGAACAAACAAACATGTAAGGACATAATCAAACACTCTGTGCACATTTAACTCAAAGCTAGAATCAGCTCAGCATCTGGCTTAGAACAAGATTTGTCTTCCAGATTTTTCTCCAGTTGTATGACTGTTACTCTAACACAAGTCTCTCTACAAAAAATCCAGTTGAACTGTTGAACAGTTTTCTGATTAACTTTTGTGTCATGACAAAGAAAGGTTCATTTTTCCATCTCAAAACAGTATCTTCCAATGTCAATGAGCATTTTGTTACCATGGAATAAACAGAAAATGCAGTTAGTAAGCACTACAGAAAAGATGAATCAGTCACTTTTCTAAATCTCCATAATATTTCTCTCAGTTGCTTTCTTGCTTTTCATCATGCTTCTCATTTCACATGCTCTTCATTCTCTTTTAAGAGACAAGTTCTTTGTTCCATTTGGTTTTTATTTGCTATTCTTTACTATTTCTGTCATTTCCTTTTGACAGGAGTTGACCAAAACATGACAAAGTATTTGAGACAGAGCACACTAGAAATTAATAGCCTGGCAGCCTAATAAATCTATTTGGGGACCTGAACTGAGTATTTCTGGGAAGGATAACTCATATAATCAAAAACCATCAAGAGTACTGAGGCCAGTTCATGCACCTAAATGAGAGGAAATATGTATCTGTGAACTTTAATATAATTTTTATTCCAGAGGTACTGTTCAAACATGTTCATAAAACTGAGATCTTTGCAAAAAAAGCCTCTGAGTATTACAGCTTTTAAAAGAAAAGCAGAAAGCCAGAAGGCAATCAGAACACACATCATTTCTGCCCACACACAAAAACTGTAGCAGGAAATTACTGGTGCACAAATTGTTTTTCACATCTGTCTTTTAAAAGAAAATTTAACAAATAATTTTGGATGACCAATTTCAGAAACCTCATACAAAGAGCCCCTCAAACAGGTGGGTTGGAAAAGTCAGTGTGAAGTCACGCATAAGCAAATATGAACAACACTGAAGGTAACCAAAACCAAAAGTTTTGATCTCTGTGGAATAACTCACCTTCCTCTTTGCTGCATAAACAACACTGAAGGTAACCAAAACAGAAAGTTTTGGTCTCTGTGGAGTAACTCACCTTCCTCTTTGCTGCATATTTTAACTGAACATTTTGCCGAATTTTATCAAGACGCTCTTCTCGCTTTTTCCTTCTGATCTGCTCTTCCTACAAAAATAGGAGAGTGTAGGCAGGATTAAGTGGATTTAGTCCTCAACCCTTGGTATCACTAATTATGCTCTGGGCATAGAAAAAATACTAAGGGAAACAAAATTTCTGAGACAGGGACAGGACAAGGTTCCGTTCTCCAGCAGTGTTCACCTACCGAGTGTTACTCTGCTCAAAGCAACACAAAGCAATAGTTTCCTGTCTTGGGCAACCTGCAGGCAAAGACACACCACCAAATTTGCTGCACGTGTTCTCCACTCTCCATCCAGGATGCAGGAACAGTTTGCCCAGAGAGCTGCTGGAGTTCCCCTCCCGGGAGATGCTAGAAAGCCGCCTGAACACTGGGTACCGCGCTCCAGGGACTCTGCTCGAGCAGAGAGGATGTTCTAGGTGACCCTTCCTCCCAGCCATGCCGTGACTTTGTGATATCAGCCCTCCCGATCCTTTCCTCGTTATTTACCCCGTCCTCTACACAGAGCGCATCCCCACCTTCAGTCTGTCCACCTTGTCCCGCTCCTCCTTCCTCTGCACGAAGGCCGTGACCCAGTCCGGCTGCCCGGCCGTGTCCGCGCTGCCCGGCCGCGCCTGCTGCGGGCTCAGCCCGTCCTGCCCGAGGGCCAGCAGCTGCTCCTCCTCCTGCCGCCGCTTCTCCTCCCAGTCCCGCAGCCAGGCCAGGGCCCCGCAGATGAGGCTCAGCGATTTTCCCTGTCACGGAGAGCCGGCAAGGTGAGCAGCGCTGCCGCCGCCGCCGCCGCGGCCCCGCCCGGCCCCGCCGCCTCACCGTGCCCGTGGGGCTCTCGAAGATGCCGACCCGGCCGGCCTCCAGCGCGGCGTACAGCGCCTCCATGAACTGCTCCTGGATGCGGTACGGAGTGTAGGGGAACGGGAACCGGCCCGGCACAGAGCCCACTGCCGCCGCCGCCCCGCTCTCCATCCCGCCCGCTTCGAACCGGGCGCCGCGGCCGCGGCCGCCCCTTCCCGTGACGCGGCGGAAGGACCGCCCTGCCCTGCCTCTGTGCACAGAGCCCTCCCCGAGCTGTCATCCCCTTCCCCATCCCCTCCCATCGCACGCGGACACAAAATTACATTTCAGAGGAAAAAAACCAAAACCAAAACCAAAAAAATAAACCCCCCCCCCAAAAAAAAAACCCGAGAAGGTTTTATTTAGGATGTGTGAAAAATGCGTATTTTATGATTGGCTTTTCGCAAATATTAAAATGAATATTATGTGTGTTATGTTAGAAAGTTATGCTCTGTTAATTTTCTTGAATAGTGTGTTAAATATGGTTTTGGATTATAACGGAGTGTTAAAATAAAAACCATGCTATGTAAGATACTTTTTTTTTTTTTTAAGGAAAGGACTTGCAGCAAGATAGCAGCCACAGGACACCTAAATCTTTCAGAGAAAAAGAATTTATTGCTCCATTATCAGAAGAAACGAACTTCTTCCCACCTCGCTCAGCCTTTAAGACACCATTAGGATTAAGAGGAAGAAGCTGACACTGACCAGACAGAATCCTGTATTTGAATGGAATTTATGCATCATGTATGAGGTGTATGAATATACAACAGGCTATTGCTATTAAGGGTTAATCCTCTGTTAATGTGTGTCCTTTTTCAGGCTTATTTTGCCCAGAAAAAGGTACCCAGACATCTGTAACTCTTTGTTTTTATTGCCTCATAGTGTCCTAATCCAAATCGTCCATATTATTATTACTCTGATTTTACTGCTATTTTTATAACCATTATATTATTATTAAACTTTTAAAATTTTAAAAACAAGTGATCGGCGTTTTTCCCAGATGGAAGTGCACAGTAATAAAACACTGCCATATAGAAGGGGTTTATGTAATACTCAGTCCTGTATTTGAACTGCGTATGTTCATACTCTGGAAACAGCAGCCACCTAAGGAAGAGCAGCATAAAAAGAACAAGACAACTGCAATCAGTCTCTGGACCAGCAGTGAGAACTCATCGTGTACTGGTTCAGACTAGGCCATCTGGGGCAAGTCCTTTTTGGGGGGGTCAAATAATATAAGGCCATATTTTTGTCCTAGTTTTGTTGATGTCTGATGTTGGAAGGAGTTTCAAATCAGCAACAACAAATCTGGGAGAAGCTATAGACTTCCCTTCAACTGGAAGCACTTCTGCATCCAGGATTTCTGGGAACAGCCATTGGTTTTGTGTTACCTAGCTATCATGAGGTAGGAATTCCTTGTCTCATGTAAGATTTCGAAAATAGAAAGGAAAGACAAACAGATTTATGTTCAGACTATTTATTCCCTTTCTTCCTTCCAGCCATAGCCCTTTTCCTTAAAAAGAAATCTCTGCAGCAATTCGTATCTAGATTTTATCTACAGAACAGATAGACAACTGAGTAAAATTATAAACTAGTTTATTAACCTTTGGACTGAAACATTTGGAGGCTCCTGGTTTTTCATAGGTATACTTATTTGGAGATACATGTTGGAAATTCATGTTAGAGTGTGAGGTACAATGGACAGCACTGAGCATCATCCTGTCACATGGAACAGGGTGTGATGCAGCAGACCAAACCCCCTTGTTTCAGATGATCTACAGATTTTGGAAGACCCCACTACACTGGTTATACCAATCCCCAAAGTTTTGTTCACAACACTCAGGGCTGAAAAACATTTGCAGTACAAACAAAGCACCTCAAAGCAGCAAACTGACTCAAGTATTCTCAAATATTGTCAGCACAAAAAGAAGAAAAAGCCATACTTTGGTTTATGTTTTTTACCATTATGAGTATATTCTTCGCTGAAAAATACACAAGATTGATTTCATTTTGGACAGGGTCTTTTTGAAAGGGTATTGAGATACCACAGGACTTTGCCATATTCTACAGATCTTCCTGGAAGCAGAATCTGTTTAGTGAAGGGGCAGAGTGAGTGTGGAGTGAGCAGCATGGTACACCCCAAATTTTCAGCATTCAGCTCTTCCCTTCCCAGACATGCTCCATGCAATTTCTCACCTTGTGAGCATTTTCTCTACTGGCTCAGTGCTGGGCTGCTTCTGGTCACAAACCTGCTTCTCTTCATTTATCCAAAAGGTTAGAGCCAAGCTGGGGACTGCAGGTCCTGATCAGAGGAAGGAAAACAGACATAATAAATACCTGTCATGGCAGCAGTGCTGTAGGGTGGGATTACAGGAGGATAAGTATTTAGGAGCTGAAAGTAACCTAGACCATGATGAAAATGGTCTAGGTTACTAGAAAATGATGCCCAGAAATATGAGTCAGGGTCACTGTCTGTCCTGCCATGCACACTGGGGCCATAATAACCAGGGCCAGCTCAGGTGGCACACACAGGTCAACCAGATGTCCTCTGACAGCTCACTGCCTTCCCACAGGTATCTAGATGTTCATCCTGCTGCTCTTCCAGACCAAAAACACCTCCTGATGAGTTTTGTGTAAGAAAACTATCGATTCCTCAAACCATTTTCTCTCCATCACCTTTCTTCCTAGTGTTTTCTACCATGGTCTGGAGCCCTTTGTGGATTCTGTCTTAATGGATCAGCCAAGCACACACAGATCTGGGCAAGAGACAAGATTTTGAGCTGCTCACACATTATCAACAACAGCAGCCCAAAGGCAGAATTTCCTGCCCTGTGCTTCACAAAAATGGCTGTTTGACTGCCTCTTTCCAGATGGATTTTCCAGGGCTGGCAGTGAGCAGAAGGAAAGAGTCACACACACCTGTCCATGCCCAAGCCGTGCCTGGGGGAGGGGGCAGCAGGGAGGGAGCAGGAGCAGCGCAGGATGGAGTGTTCGGAACGCAGGTGTCTGTGACATCAGTGGCAGAGCAGCACAGGTGACAGCTCCAGCCGTGCACGTGGGCCCCAACTGTCACAGGCACTGCTCCCAGTGCCATGACGGCCTTGTGGGCTTATCTGGCTTTGTCTGGTGAGTAGGACGTGTCCCTCCTCCAAACCCAGCTGTGGGGAAGGGCGGCCAACCCAGCTGCTCTGCACTCTCCCCATTACTCCTCAAAAGGAAGGGATGAAGCATCCTCCAGTGCCTCAGGCGCAAAGATCCATGGTCTTATCATTTTGTCAATTTTCACCCTGGAGTTGGTATTTATTCATCAAAGAGGGCCACAGAGTGACCCAAGAGCCAGACAGGAGTCAGATCTGGATGCGGTGGGCACAGGCTGGAGCAGAGGTGGAGATGCTGTGACAGGGACAGCTGGGTGCATTAAAGCACTAAGGCACAGGTCTGGAGCTAACCCACGAAGCTAAGAGGGAAGACGGCCCAGTAAAACAACAGGGGAAGCAGGAGAAAGAGGTCTGAGAGAGGACCTTGGTTAAAGACCTCTTTAGCCAGAGGAAGAGAGTTTGCAGAGGCTAAAAATCTTGGAAGGAAACTGTGTACTTGCTTCAGCCCCAACAACAGAGCAATAGTCTCAGTTTCAGCCATGACTTCCAAGACATTTCTCCCAGTTCAAGATTTGAATCTCCAGAGCTTTGGTGAAGGTCCCTCAGCCATGTACTGTCACTCCTTTCAACAGGGGTGAAGCAACTTTTCCACAGGTCTGGATCTTCCATGTCTAGCTTGTAAATGCATTTTCTATGTGCTGGATCCTGCACCCAGAAAAGGCGACAGAGATGTGGATTCAGTCCTCCAGCTCTTCCAAACATGTCGTGGTTATCGTTTCCTTCTCCCTCTGACTCCCTGCACTCTGTTTCCCACCAGTGCTCTTGGGCTGGGGCTGCATAGCTGGCCCTCGGGGCACAAAGGCACAGGAGCCAGGAACACCCCTCTCTGACCAGGAATACCACCAGTTCTTCCACTTCCTGAGGATCACCATCCAAGCCAGAACCGCCTGCGAGCTCCGCGAGCTGTACGGCTGCAAGAACTCACTCGTCCAGAGGCTGGATGAGTATGAAAACCACGGAGCCATCCCTCCAGGTAAAGCCAGCCATGATTCCCAAGGACAGGAGTCCTGCATGGCCCTCATCACTGGGAAACACTCAGGATCTGGGGAGGAGAAGGGAGGGGAGAGAGGTGGGTAGCAGTCCTGGAGTGAGGAGAAGGCACGTGCTCATGGGCAGCCTCTCTCACATTTCATTGGATCCACAAGAATCCAATGGATTCCCTAGGACCAATCCCTAGGACCAACCTCCTCTCATCCCTTGGGTCATGAAGATGACCAAGAAGCAGTGGAGTTTCTCAAAAGGTCTCCATATGGGGGGTTTTCATGGAGGGATGTCACCCCACAAGGAGCTTATTGCAAAGGGGGATGCCAGCGCTGGAGTCTGTCACTGGATCTGTGTCTTTATTTGCCTCTTTCTAGGGCCTATATGCTCTGAACTGCCAGAAAATCCTTCCTTCCTCAACTTCTGCACCTTTTCTCTTTATCGCTGTATTATGAAACAATATTTCCTTAAGGTGAGTTATTTAGCTGTTTCCTGAACACTGTGGTGTGCTCTGGGCAATTTATGGGCAAAAGAGAGAGCCCTGAATATGAGTAAGTGGGAAGACAAAAAGCTAAAAGACAGGGAAGATGATAGAAGAGTGTGTGTGTGGGCACTCACACCAAGCTGATTAGCTGACACAGATGGCACCTGCAGCCCCTTGCCATAAAGGAGACTTCCCAGAAGGCATTCTTCAAGAAAATGAACCTTTGAGGACCACCTCAACCCTCTTCCCCAGCTCTCATTCCCAAACAAGTTGAGACAATCTAGGTTTCTCCAGAAGAAAGGGGGATTCATGTAGGCCAGAAGAAGAGAGCAAAGAGAGCTGTGAATCCCAAGAGTTTTTGAAGGTTTATTTTGCTTTCCTGGGTTCATCTGAGTAGGGAATGGGAAAGATGAGATTGTGCAGTGAGAGCTAAACCCACAGAATGGGGCTGTGCACGGGTGCCTGCTC